TTCAGATCCCTCATTTGGCTCCGCCCAAAGCATAGGCCACACCCCTCACGCCCCGCCTCTCCTACCAGGCATCGCAGAGCTCTGAGCAGAGCGGCTGCGTCTGGCGTACCCCCAATAGCAGCAGGTGAAAGCGACTGCGGAGGGCAACCTGGAGGTGTCCCAGGAAGGATTCGCACCTGGACATCGGGAGAGACAGGCCCGGATGGGTCAGGATGAGCCAGGGTTCTACCCCTGCTAAGGGCAACTGAAGCAAAGAACACAAGAAAATTTTGGGGGTTGCTGTACTCACCCTGGGCTCAGCTCCCCACAGCGCTCCGGGACGATCCCAGGGCCCAAAGCCAATGGTGTGTCCATCTCTGAGGGACGAGAGGGCCATGGAGAAGGGGACTTCTGTGGTGGTCTTGGATCCTCAGGTAGGGTTGGGGAATCAAGGCCTGGGGTTCCCCTGAATAGGGGATACTCCCATTATATGTCCTCCCAAACATAAAACTTGAAGACACTTTGCTTGGGATGCAAATGAAGTTTCAAGTAATAATACTTATCATAATCAGCTTATTTATTACATCTCTGGTAGTGATATAAGTTCTCATATGCTTACATACACCTGTTTACAACATCCCTAGGAAATGGCTGTATTATTTCTCCCCCTTTCTTAGTGGCCCACATGAAGCCCAGAGAGGTTAATTGATTTTCCCAGGCTACACAGCTATGAAATGGCAGAGCTGGGATTTGAACCTAGGCAATTTATACTCTTTAACCATCGTTCTTCAGCACTAGACCCAGGTGCCCCCTCTGGTCACTCTAAGCCCCTCTTATAAGGAAATTTTGGCATTATGGTTGAGTTGGGGTTTCTGGATGTTAGAGGTTAGTCAGAGTCTGGAATGCTTACCTGCCAGGTGCAGCTGGCCTTTGCCCAGATTGGCTACCAGCCTATGGTGTCTCTGGGACCTAGCTGGGAGTGGGTGGCTCCCTCCATAAGCCCCCAACAGGATCCATGCCAGGGTCAGTTGTAGGGCCCAGGCCAGGCCCCTGGGTGGAGTGCGACCCCTGCAGGCCATGTCCATCTGAGATAAGAGTCAACTAGGATATGGGGTGAGCTTCAGCTGTCCCTTTCTGGTAGCTCAGTGTGGCAACTTTCTGATGCACACCCAGGAGACAGTGCCAGGCAGAACAGAGAATGGGAAGCTGATAAGGAGGCAATAGCCAAGGATTCTCAAATCCCAGGGGGCCACCAAGGCCTGTCTCTGACCCAGGAGCACCCCCCACCATCAAACCATATCCCCTGCATTCCTTCAGGCATAAGTTCCCTCACCCCGTTTGACCATGGTTCCCCCGAAACACAAAGAAGGATCTCCCGCCCTGCTCCATTCTCCGAACTAAGGGGACCATCCCAGATATTCCAATCCCCCCCTGTTCAGTAATTCTTCTCTCTCTTCTCTCCAGTCTCCTCCCTCCCTCTTGATCCTCACTGGCCCCTCTCATGGTCACCTTCTCTCGGCCCACAATCGGCTTAGGGACTGCCACCTAGGGCTGGACCTTTGGAGCCAAGCTTAGCTGTGGCAGGATTCGGGTTCTGCCGCTGGGGTCCAAAGGCCCCAGGGCAGGGGACAATGGAGGTCTGTGGAAACAAAGCAGTTCCCTCCCCACCTCTGCCCGCTCTGGCCACCCCTCACCTGTTAGCGGGACTGGAGTCTAGGGCGCTGCTGAAACACCTCAGGGTCAAATCCAGGAAATAGTGACAGCTGAAAGGGGCGTGGTTTGATGCAGGGGAGGGGTTTCCCATCGCCCTGCCCTCTGCTCCAGCTGACCTAAGGCCAGAGGATCTGGCTGGTGTGTTTATATATCCTTGTGTTTGCCATTATGTTGAATTTATGACTTGAAACCTGTATATGTGTGGGGAGTGGATGTGTGTAATTGGATGAGGCTGTGCTTGTGTGTCTGTGTACGTACTGAGTGTGTATGTGTGTTTGTTCTGTGAGGGTATGATTATGGGCGTCTTTTGAGTGGTGTGTGTGTTCAAAATCTGGGTAAACAGGTCTGCACGTGTTCTCAGCCAAGTGTGTCCATTTGAGTAAGAGTCAGATAACACAGGGAAGGAGGATGTACGATGAGGATGGGTGTCCTGCAAAAGTATTGTGGATAGGTCAGTGGATAAGGGTTGTTGACCATCAATGTTCACAATGAGCGGACAAAGAGGTGTTGTCATGTTTGGAGAGGGTGTGTGTCTCCTTCTGAAACGTATATGAATGTGTGTGTCTGTTCCTTTGCAGTTTCTGTGAATGTGTGTCTTACGCAAACATTCCCTCAATTCATTTGAGAAACATTTATTGAGCACCTATTGTGTGCCAGGTTCTGGGGATGCAGTGTAGTGGCTAAGACATGGAAATCTCAACCCTCACAGAATTGACAGTCTAGTGGGAAAGTCCAATAAGAAAAACATCCCTCCGGTGTGTATGTGTGTCCATGTTTGTATTTTGGATGAGAGTTTGTGTGTAGCTGAGCTTCCCTTGGTTTGGGGATGGTGTGTGTGTGCTTGTGTTTGTTGAGTGTTTGTAGTATTATTTTTGTGTGCCTGTATTTTCTAAGTGTGTTTATGTCTGTGTTTTCTAAGTATGTGTTTGCATATGTATTTGCAGAATGTGAGTTTACTAGTATATGTGTTTGTGTGTTTGCTGAATCTGTGTTTGTATTCTTCTTCATGTGTTTGCAGAGGGCTCTCCGCGTGTGCTAAGTGCATATTTGCAAATGTTTACATGTGTTTGTATGTGAATTTGCGTTTGCTGAGTATGTATTTGTATGTGTGTGTATTTGTAGAATGTGTGTTTTGTGGAGTATGTGTTTGCCGAGTGTGTGAATAGGTGTATATGAGTCTGTTGAGCATGTGTTGGTATGATTCTGTTTGTGTGTATGTTTGCAGAGTGTGTATGTGTGCCTGTGCTTGTAGACTGTCCATACGTGTTTTAGTGAGCAGTGACCGTTACCACAAATCTCTCTCCCTCTCCTCTGGGACTAGTGCAGAGTTTTTGTCTATCTTTTTTACCGACGTATGCTCCCAGATGCCAGAACACTGGTTTTCACACAGTAGGTGCTCAATACTTGTTGAGTAAACGAATCAGGAGGCATTGTCTCCTGACCCCTCTGCAGGCACCCACTGATGTCCTGGAGGCTTCAGCAACCAAGACCAAGTGGTCCTAGCCTTCCCCCGGTTCATCTTGGGCTAGTCCAGGGTGCTCATGGGTCAGATCTGTCCAGCCTCTGGGCTGTGCCTCATGACAACATTTTTCTTCCCCTGATCTACTCTCCCCTGACCCTGAGCTCGTATTTTCGCGCTACGGTCAGCAGGGCTCGAGATCAGCACCACGGAGAGCTCCCACGGCGGCCGACTTGAGAAGGGGTGGCCGTGAGCGTGAGAAGGGGAGGCAAGAGCGGTGCCCTGGCCTGGGACAGAGAAGTGAGAGGAACAGACTCGGCAAGGGGCAACACGAACATGCCGAGGAAGACAGAAACAGACAGAGATAACAGGCAAAGGCGCAGAGATGAGTCGAGAGGCACCTGGGAAACACCCGGGCTTAGACCTCGCGGTCGGTCCTGTTGGCCGGCAGGGCTTGCTACTGCCCAGTGACCTCACCCTCTATGGCCTTTGGGACAGTTATGGGCTGAGGCCCTTGGGAAGGCCCACCACACCATGCCCTCCAATGCCTGGATTGGAGTGGGGAGGTCTCCGAAGCTTTCCACTCCAACTCTGGGAAGCATAGTTGACTTGGCCTCAGAGTAGGAACACTGGAGGGGGAGTGGTGAAAATCGCTTCGGCTGCCCCCCTCTCCAACTACTAGCTAATCGTTCCTATAAATACAGCCCAGCCTGGTCTGGCTTATTAATCCTGACGATGAGGGAGAGGACCGCTAGGAAGCTAGCAGGGTTCCCTGGGGAGGCTCTGCTTCGGAAGGGGGAGCGATATATACATGTAAATGTTTTTCTGAAGAGGCATCTCCCGTGCGGTTGAGTCTCCTCAGTGCAAATGTCACTCTGTAAGAACGTATCTCTTGGGATGTGGGGTCTTGTGGGTGGGGACAATTTCCCATAAAGAATATGGCTTTTATGGGGTCTTTCATTGGGGTTACACTTAATAGGCTCCCCACGTGGAATGTTACACATGGGGATCTTTCTCTGCGAAGTTATGTCTTCTTTGGAGGGTAGGCTTTTGACTAGAAGCATCACTTCTCAGAGACTGTTTTAGGAATGATTTTCAGGGTGAGAGGAGAGTTCCTGATTGGAGAGGGCCTCCCCGTCGAGACTACCTCCCTGTGGGAATGTGTCTCTGAGGGGGTCACTGGAGTGGGTGTGTGTCCGCACAGGGAATATATCTTACAGAGAATGTCTCCCCTGGCGTGTTTCTTGGGTTAGGAGTCTACCCAGGAGCATGTCTCTCCCCTGGCGTGTCTCTTCTTAAAGGGGTCTCTCTGTAGCTTGGCTTCCCTGGGGGTACCTGGAGGCTCCTCCCCCCGCAAGTCCCCTCCCCCAGCGCGGGCAGCCTTGGCCGAGGCCAAGCTCGGGTGCCCAGACGCAGTGACGGCGCCGGGTCCGCCCCACTTCGCT